CCGATGTGGGATCTCACAATCCACCCCCCCTTGGGGCCCAACATCCTCGCTGGTACACCAGCCCGGTCCCCGGCTCTGATACCATCTGTAACAGTCTAGGCGCACCCGCTCACAAGATATTGTCTGCTTTGTTGGGCTGACGTCACTACCCCTCCCGGCAAGCCTGCCCCCACAGCCTCACGGCTTTGTTTTTCCCCCCACACTTGAGGGAAAAACGCGTCCTATAAGGAGAAGATATCTACACACCTATAAGGTATGTTTCGTTCACCTCCCCAATTGATGTAAGATCTCACACGGGCAGCTGCAAGGAAGATTAAGTGAGAGAGAGAGAAAAAAAGAGGAGAGGGTAATAGATCCGATTGGTTAGTTTGATGCTGAGTGCTACCCCAGTCCCAGCAATGTGACACGTGCCCTTTTAATTTAATTTTTTATTTTTTATTTCATATTTATATACTTAAATAAAAATTGATTATTTAGATAAATTCATTACATTTTGATTGTGTATATCAATATTAAGTTTTTGAATTGCTGGGACACGTGCCCTTTTAATTTAAATTTTTATTTTTTATTTCATATTTATATACTTAAATAAAAATTGATTATTTAGATAAATTCATTACATTTTGATTGTGTATATCAATATTAAGTTTTTGAATTTTTTGACTTTTTGTGTTTTATTTTTAAATTTTAAAACAAAAATTAGTTTTTTATGTTTTATTTTTAAATTTAAAAAGTAAAAAATAATTTAATTGTTTGTAAAATAATTTAATATTTAATATTATATCTAGATTTTTTAATGTTTAATTAAATATGAAATAAAAATATAAAAAATAAAAATAAAAAAATTTCTGGGAATACTGTCCCACTGAATGACAACTAGCATCAAACCAACCGATCCGGCTGGTAGATGGGGCTTTGGCCAAGATTTGCAAGAGCATAAGTGAGGTAAGCGGCAGCAGCATGTGAGGTCAGTGGTGGCAGAGAAGGGTCGGGTGGCTGAGTGCACAGAGGGGGAGAGAGGAGAAAAAGAGAAAAGAGGAGGAGAGCAAAAAAATGGGAAAAAAGGGGAAAAGTTGGGGGGAGGAAGGGAAAGAAGGGTTGGTTTGATACTGTAGCACTCCAGCAGTGTGACATGCGTTTACTTTGTTTAATTTTTTTATTTTTTATTTTATTTTTATTTGATTAAATAAAAATTAACTGTTTAGATAAATTCATTAATGTTAATATTTATTTTGATTGTGTATATTAATGTTAAATTTTTTAGATTTTTGAATTTTTTGTATTTTATTTTTAAATTTTAAATAAAAATTAGTTTTTTGTGTTTTATTTTTAAATTTAAAAAGTAAAAAAATAATTTGATTTTTTATAAAATAATTTGATATTTAATATTATATTTAATTTTTTTTATTTAATTAAACATGAAATAAAAAAAAAAATAATAATAAAAAAAAAAAACAATTGCTGGGGTGCTGCCCCACTGGGGTAGCACTCAGCATCAAATTAACCGGAAAGAAGGGTCTTGAACACAGGCTTTTTTTTTTCTTTTTTTTAGGTATTACATTTTTCTTATATTAACTAAATTTCATTAAAAGTCTGTTTTTCTATGAAATTAAAAAACTTGAAGGTGAAAAAGAATTTTATTACCAAATACCCCTTCACTCTAGGAAATTTTGAAAAGAGACCCATAAGATAAAGGTTATGAAATAAGATATTGTTAAAATTAATTATAAAACAAGACGATGTATTAAAAAAATTGATCATACAATTAAATAAAAACAGTTATGCAAATGAACATACACTAAATTATATATTATATTTATATTATTTTTTAAGAAAATGTGGACCAAAGCTTTTTGCCAAGGTTTGGCTTTAGAACATATGCGAAGAAAAAAGTAATAAAAACTTGACAACAAACTAATTTAAATTATTAGGACCCTCTTTTATAGTTTTAAAGACACACGTTTCTATTTTGGAAATCAAATTTTCAAAATTATTATTCTTGTAAATTGTATTTTAAAAATACATGTTGTAAAAAGTAAAGTATATGCTTAATCTTAAAAATATTTATTTTACTTTTATTAAAAAATATATTATTTTCTCTTCTTCATCTTTTCATACAAATGCAACTCTTTGTATATATATATATATATATTTTGTATATATGTACATGTATAGATATGTACATATTATACACACACACACACACACATATATATATATATATATTAATCATTCAATTCTTAATTTTTTACATTTAGTCCTGTATTGATTTTTAAACTTATTCTTTTATTCATATCAATCTTTAGTATACTAATTTTTTTACACAAACAATTATCTTAAAAATAATGTATAAATAACACGATTTCAAAAATATGTCTTAAAAAACATATGTAATACATGTTAAAAAATAGTATCTTAATTAGTCCTTAAATATCATGTTAGGTAGTAAAAAAAGAGTCCCTAGGTTCTCAATTTTCTTTTAATTGAAAGGGAGATAGGCAGCCACGTTTGGTATGCATAATTTTGGAGAAGTAGATTATTCTAGGAGGTCTTTGTTACAGTATCTCGACAAAGATATTTCTTTCCTGTTCCTTGCAGAGTTGCCACTAGCACTCAACTTATGTGATCCAGCATGCTTCATGCGTTGCGAGTTGACGGAGAAGGAGAAAGAGAAGATGATTATTATTATATTAGGATGATAATCAAAGACTAATTCATTAATTAACTTAGATAATGAATTACTAATAGGCGTTGGCTTGGGCAACTATGCCACAGTGGGCTGTAATTCTTACGTCATCGATTGCGTTTATAATTATGCCCAACAATGACCTGTTAATTTCCTAAGGACTAATTACTCATTGTTTGACAAAATTCAAGATTATGGATCTGGGCAACCCAACCAAAGCCAAAAGGTGCAACAAGATGCTTTTCAATTCAAAGCAAGGGGTCACCGACGCATGTTAAAAGGCTTATCCAATGTGTTCGTATATATTTTTGCTTCAATTACCATAGTAAATAACTCAGATTTAGATTAAATTAAGTAAATATAAATTTAAACCTGATTATTTATTTATATATTCATATTTGATTCAAAATCATGTAAATTATGTATTTGTTAATTTATATTTGAATTTAAAAAATAATTCATAAATTGACAAAAAAATTGGATATGATAACAAAAATATTATTTTTTTACACTTAAATCACCAAACTCTATTTCACTAATTATATTGATTCTTAAATTTTTTTTAATTTTTTTAATTTAGTCCTTACAAATTTATATTTATTAATATTATATATATAATTATTAATTTAATAAAAAATATTATTAAAATATATATTTAAATTTTTAATAGATCGAATTACTTAATTTTATATTTGGTCAATTTATTTTAAATTACGAATATTTATAATTAAATTAAATTTATCGAATATTTTAATTACATTCAAATTCTAAAATTTAGATTGAATTTAAATTGGATTCAGATTAAAATCTGATCTATTAACCGTCCAAGTTTCAACGTCATGACCTTACATTAATAATTTAATTTAATACTAGCACTAGTAAAAATTATGCCGGTAACTTTCACCACTTATTAAAGGGTAAAAAATCTAGCTACCACTTAATAATATTATATACAAATTTAAACTTTTAAATGAAGGTTGGTAAGCCAAGCATCAAATTTTGAACTCGCAACCTAGAACTAGAAAAACAAAATACGGATCCAAGAAGAGTAGTGAACTGGCGAGTGTCTCCTCCATTAATCCTTCCAATAGGGGATTATTCTAACCCTAGTGGATTAGCTTTAGGGCCGGTCTTGATAGTGTTAATTAAAAGGAAATTAAAATTAGTTGTACTTTAATTTTCCTTCACATGCTCTGGACCCTTTAATTTAATACAACAAATTCATAAGGAAACTTATATGAACATTATTTTACAAGCCAACAACGATCTAATTAACTTGCAATTAGAATCATGTAATTAGTCCTAAAAATTCTTTTATTTTGTCATAAAAAGGACAAGACCGAATTAATTTGTGTTGGATTTGAGCATTGCTAAAAGAGATCCTGCATGTTCGAGTTATAGCCTTAATCTCTGTTTCACAAGCTCTTGGACTATAAAAGAAGGTTAAAAACGTACACGTAACACAGATGGCAAGGGAAGCTTTGTAAATATACTTGATTTACTTTGACCGGTCTTAGTTAATTGATTAAGTCTTTGATTAGGAGGTAATTAGATTTGATTATTGTAAATTAGTAAATGCCGTAATCAGATGGAGTCGCCCGAAATTTTTTTGATAATTTACAATTACGTCCTTTTTTTTTGTTCTTAAAGATTCTGCTTTCCAGCAGAATGTCAAACTACAGTGTAATTATCTCAGATATGTCCATGGGTTTTATTTGTTCACACCTGAAAATTCCCATAGTCAATTTAGGCTGGTTGATTTATTTCAACAAGAAGAAACTGAGAAGGTTCCAATTTTGTCACAGTGGGTTGGCTTTCTTTCTTACTTTCTTTCTTTCTTTCTAAAATTTGTTCCGTCTCATGAAGGATACTATTGGGCAGAGGAAGAAGAAGATGAGAATAGAATTCCCTCAGACGACGTTTTCTTCCCCAATTGATTGATAGCTATAAAGATCTGATAACAGCGTGTTACCTCTCAACCAAAAATCCTTGCCGTTACGTCTTTTATGTTACATCACTATGCATCAACTTTCGACAGAAGTACATTATTAACCAGAAAAGGAAATAAAAAGAAACAATACAAGTTGGGGAATTTCCTGTTAAATCTCCACGCAGCAGCCTGATTGAACAAAGCCACAGAATTCATCAGGCACACCTAACATTTTTACTTTGCCATTTTGCCTTCCATCCATTTCCACCATGAAGAATCCCTGGGTTGTTCCCGGGAAGGCTGATCCGATCACAAGAGACCGTCCGCCCAACTCGATTCCAAAGACGCCGACTCCAATTGGCAGCTCCGACTCTACCCAACTCCCTAACTTCCCATCTTTCCCAATCCGGCACACGACCTAGGTGACAGACCCAGTTTCCACGCCCCCTCCACTCTCCTCCACTCACCCGTACTGAGTTGGTACGACTCCGCACTCGCCGCGAACATGCCCTGTTTCTCGTTCCCATATCCGCTGACAACCCAGAACTCATCGTCTCCAATTACTAAAGCCTCGCACTCATCGCGTTCCTGGCTCATCTGAGTCAGCTCGGCCCACTCGTCCTTCCTCACGTCGTACGACCAAGCAGATTTCAAAGCGCACTTGTTCTCGTCGTGTCCGCCGGCGATGTAAACTCGGCCATCAATGGCTCCAATTGCGAATAACGATCTCTTGGAGGGCATGTCCTTGCCCTGACTCCATTTCTGAGTGGTGAAATCGTACACGAAGACGTCCCCAACCGGGTCGTAAGTCACCGGATCCCATCCGCCCATCACGATTAGCTTCCCTTCCGAGCTGGCCAACCGGCAGAACAGAGGGAGGCCATGTGGGTACTTGGGAACCGGGCTCAGCCTCTCCCAGGTGCGACTTGCAGGGTCAAACAGAGTGAGTCCGTAACACAACGAGCTGGGGAATTTGAGATTTTGTGAGTGAGCGGATGAAGGAATTGATTGGAGTAAGCAAGCTGTTTTCTGGGTATGCCCTGTTTGGCTTCGTTTGTGGTGGAAGTCAGGGCTGGCGAGGAGATCTCGCCATCGCCGGCTAACCCGGGAAGCATCCCGGAGAGCTGAATGGTGCAACCGGGTCAGGCACTCGAAACTGACTTCTTCAGGCAAACTAGGGATCAGTTCCATGATATGCATGTTTGTGAGAGAGAGAGAGAGAGAGAGAGAGATGAAAATCAGGGAAAGGCTCTGGAAGATTTTTTGAGGGGTGAGAGAGAGAGAGAATATGAAGCGGTATAGAAAATAAGGGAAATGCTCTGGAAGACTTCGAAACATGGGGGGTCACATTTATGTCCAAACTGGCAGAGGGTGGCACATGGGTACACGGAGCCTAGGCCAACAAGTATAGAGAGTTTCAGAAAAAGTCAAAAAGAAAAAAGAATTGGAAGAACAGTCGAGGATAAATTGTAATATGCTAGCCGCTTAACGTATCCTTTTTTGTTTCTTGGGTAGCCTCCGCCGAACATAACTTCGTTATCCGGATTTGGGGCAACACGAGGGGAGGCGTGATTAATTTGACTAATTTAATTGGGCTGGGCGAAAATTAAGAGGTTAATACACGCGTTTGGGGACAATTGAACTTATCCATGTTGACGGTTCCCGTTCACACGACGGACCAGTCCACCCTGAGCCATTTTATTTTAGTCTGATCTGATTTTAAATTAAGAATTTTCGTAGTCTAACTAAGATATCTGATTTTTATAGTTTGAAGTACAACTGTACTCGGTGAATCAAAACTAGAATTGAGTGAACTGTGGTTTGAAATTGTGTAAAATTATAAGAGTTGAACCATGAATTAAATTGTAAAAAAATATTTTTTTTATTTTAAATATAGAAAAATAATTTTTATTTAATTTTTAAAAATAAATTTATATAATTTATCTTTAGATATAAAAGACTTATTTTAGACATAAAATTTATTTTAAATGCATTAATTGACAAAAAAATATAAAATTTATATTTTTAAATATTATCAATTTAAATATAAATACTCTGAAATAAAAATCTCTTTTATTACACAAGTTCAAATTAAAAAAAACGTATAAAAAATAAACTAATAATATCTGAGAAAAACATAAGTTAGTGAAATATAGTTTATATTTTACATAAATTAAAATTTTGGTTTGTTTTTCTCCTACATTTATTGCAACAAAAAATAAAAAAATAAAAGTAAGGTAATTTTTTATTATTCAAAAATATTTATAAATTAATATTTTAAAATTTTTCAGTTAAACCGAAATGAAAATCTAAATCAAGACTAAACTGAAATCAGGAATTGGCCTGATCTAGAACTAGATTATTAAAAAAGCATTTAATTTTATGTAAAATCCGTTTAATAGATGTTTAAAGTAATGTAAAATTAATTAAAATAATTTTATAAAATAATAATAACAAGTTGCAATATATTAAAATAAGTAAAAAGAAGTAGGCTTTCTTTAACATTTTTATTCTATTTATTCTTCTTAAAGCAATCAACCATTAAATTAAATATTTTTTTCCCTGTTTAAGAGAAAAATTATTTTATCCAAATAGGTAAATATTTACGTACGAAAATAAACTTTAATCACGAGGTGTTCATTTTCTTTTACCTTTTTCTAAACCTTTTGCAACGCAATTCAAAAGAATCTAATCCTCACATCGGCATCTGGATTAGATTTTGAATTTTGAGAGATACAAGTTTGAAAATGTTACTTGGTTCACAATTATTAAAACTACAGATGCTTATAAAAAGTAATATTAATACCGAATTTACCCCCCCCCCCAACATGTGTTACATGCTTGAAGTGAAAGCTGATTAAAATAAAATCAATCTACTTACTTTTGTGTGGTAATTGATATAATATTGTTTGAGCATGACTTCACTCGGGTACAAATCAAAATTGTTATTATTGAAAAAAACATGAACTCCAATTTCCACAAACTGAAATAAACGTGACCCTTTGAAGAATTACAGTCAAGATAATTGATAAAAACATGATCAAATTAAGTAATTTTATTTTACAAACAGATATAAAAAGTTTTGGATGAAGAAAATTGCAAAAAAAGGGGGAAATTTATAATGGAAAAGATTGGCATCATTTGGTTTGTTTCATTGTTTACGTCGTTGAAAACAACAATAAGGAAATGAAAACCAAAAATTTCTCTCATCAATATACCTTATTTAGGCTCCTAGGATTGTTGTAACATGCAATCAAATATACGCCAAGGGATGGTTTGATGGGTTGCATTAGGTTGAATAAGTAAAAACTATCAGTTATTATTTAATGTTCGATAGGCTGAATAATAAAGTCGAATAAGAACTTGGGTGTGACAACTATTCAACTAAATTTAGATAAATTATATGAGTGAGAAAAAATTTTTTATCTAATTTTTATCTAATATTTTTTATAATATTATCCTTACTATTCAAAATCTAAATTACTAAAATATACTCTCTTTTCTCTCTTTCTATTCGATAATATTATACAATATTTGCTAATTGCGTCCATGTTACCCACCACCGTTAGCCATTGCTACTTGTCATTGCTGTTCACCGTAGTCGAAAATAAAAATAATAATTTAATAATTTTTATATTTATTTAATATTTTGTTTAAAATTAAGTTAAAATTTAATCTAAAATATTATACCAGAAATATATTTTGTTTGAATGATATTCTATCCTATATTATCTAATTCCGCCTGCCAAACCACCCCTAAAGGAAGAAAGTTTCTATCTAAGTAATATTTGATATACAAATTAAGTTAATTTGGCGTTTTTCAAGCCAAAGAGGGAAACCAAGGGCCAATCAAGGATGAGGATGGCGTTTGTGTAAAAACTCATTGAGACTGCACAGCGTTAATTTCAGCCAGTTGACCACAAAATCTGAAGTACACAGAATGGACTGAGTTTGTGGGCAAGAAAGGGCTTACAGCATCCAATCTATAGATCGTCATTTGGGGCGTCATCCATCCTTTTATTTAAAACAAAATTGACTTTTCCTTTCATTCTATCCATGTCCCATATATTTCTTTGCTAATCTAATTTCGGCCATTTTTTAATATCATATATTAGCTAGTCTAATTAATTAACCATTCCCAATTTTCTTAAGCCAACTCTTTAATTAGTCAAACGGCTGCAAATATTTTTAACTCAATGATCACGTGCCACATTGGGAGAAGATTGAGAGGGGTAGGCTAATTGCTTAGTTAGCTAATCACGTAATCAAAAAAAAAAAAAAACCATAGTTTAAATCTTTAAATCCACAATTAATTTGTAATAACTTAAAAAGTCAAAGTTTAAAATACTAATTAAGCTAAATTGCCCAAAGATAACTTCTAAAACTTTTATATATAATATAATTTTTGTAATGGCCCGAAAATCTTAAAAATAAGTTTTAATGTTTAATTAAGTTGAATGGGGGCGTAATTAAAACAATCAGATGTGGTGGGGGTCAAATTGAAAACTTGGGAGGACCTATTTGTAGAAATCAAAAGTTAGGGGGGGCTAATTTAAGAGAAATGGAAGAGGGGAGAGCTGAGTGTGAGGAGTCCTAAGTTCGGGGGCTTAGTTAAAATTCAGGAGGGGGCAATTTGCAAGGAAAGAAAAGTGGGAGGACCGGATTATGACAGGGGCAAAAATTTTGATCAGAACCCGACCGAAGCTCCTCGAGCCAAATTCGCTCCAATGGGAGCAAGACAGCGGATGGGCTTCTGGGTATATGTGCGTGGCTGAGATATGAGCGTGGGTGTGTGCTCAATCGGAGAGATTAAGTGAAAGGGAAAGAGAAATGAAGAAAATTTGAGTTAGGAAGAACCGGAGGTGCCGAAGGAAAATTTTGGGAAAATACGAGATTTGAGCACATTTTGCTCCGATTAAAGCCCATCAACTTGTTCGCCGGCTTCATTCGCACCATTTTTGGCTTCCGTGGATCAAAGTAAGTTGGATTTGTGCTTTTATTTTGAGTTTTGAAGATCTGGGTCTGTTACAGACCTAGATACTGGTTTCAGGTGAGGAAGATGGGACCCGGATGGGTCTGGGTCCCTGTGTTAGGCCAGTCCGGCCTGTTGGGCCTGGGCTCGGCCCAGAAGGGTAGCAGGCCCGTAGGGCGGGCCCTGTGCTGGTTTGGGCTCAGTCAGCCTGCGGGTTGACTCAGCCCACTGTGGAAATTGGTTGGGTTGACTAGTGAGTCAACTTAAGGGCTGAAGCAGGGATATGCTATCCCCGGAGTAGGTTAATCAAGAACAATGGTTGAGCAGGGTAGCAGGGGATTGAATAATCTGGAATTTTGGGATTAGGGTTTTAGGAGGGTGAACCGACCAAGGTGGGCCGAAGGTTTGACTGACTAGTTTGAGGCTCTTTTGGCCGATTTTCTGGGTAGATGGACCGGTTCCCGGTTCAGTGAGGTGAGGGTTGTCAGACCAGGTGGTTTTAGGAAATTTTGGGTGGCCAATTCAGGGTGAACTGGCCCGTTTAGTGTGGCCACATTTGGGCGGCCGGTTCACAGGGTTTTTGGCTGGTTCTTGGGGAGGTTGATCTGGTTGCTGGTTCAACATGATGAAACCTAGCTGACCATGAAATTTGGTGATGTTTGGATGTCCGGTTCAGGGTGAACCGGGCTCGGTTTGCGTGTTAATGCTTAAGATTAGGGTTTTTGGCCCGGTTCAACTTAGCTTTGAGAGGTTCTTGGCCGGTTCAAGGTGGTTCTGGGGGTTTTTGGGCCTTCTGAATCCGATTTTGAGGGTTTCATGACTGATCTAGTTGAGTTTGAGATAGTTTTAGACCAAGTTAGGTTGGTTCAAGGGTTTCGAAGGTCAGTTCACTATGGGTTGGGGTTGTGGAGGCTGGTCCTTTACTGTTAAGGGTTATTGAGCCGAAGTGTGAGTGTTAAGTGAGTCACGCAGGACTTGGTGATGGGTAGTGGTGCCTCGAGATGTTTGTCAGGTGCGGGGATGGAATTTAAATCTAATTTTGGGCAGTCGAGCCTGTTTTGTGCTTATGATGGGGTTATTGATGGTTTTGTGTAGTTTTAATTTTAGCTTCATTCATGGAGGAGCACTCAGACCGTAGAGTGGGTTGAGGTGACCTGAGATCTCTTTTGATTCAGCCTGTATGATAAGTGATGATGCCTTCCCTATGCATGTATTTTCATACATGTTT